CCGCCAGGAGCCGTGGTACAGACCAGCTTCCATCCGTGTGCGCAGCATCGAGACCTCTGACTTGGCTCAAAGCTGTTCTGAATTAGGAGGCTAGATTCTTCTAATTGCATTTTTAAAGACCGAGCCAGCAGTTCATTAGGAATCATGGAGCAAATTCTGCTTCTCTATTACACCAATATAAATCTTGAATGAATTTATATCAGGATAACTGGGAGGGTAGAATGTACCTCCCATCTTGTTCCTCAGATTATTAAAAGTTAAAGGGCCTTGAAAATTAAATTCACCTTTCCCTCTTCAAGCTGTTTACTCTTTGTTTTTTTTTTTTATTCCAGTAAGGACAGTTGAAATGAATTAGCCCGTCTCGTTTCTCTTCATAGTCACTTTTAAGTTTGGTTCTCATGTACTAGCCCAAGACTAGTTTGTGTGGAAAAGACTGGAGGGCATCTTCTTTCAAACAAATTGTTTTCATGGGAATAATTTCCTAGAGAATTATATTAAAACCTTTCCATGAATCCTTGATTTTGCGAAAAGTATTTTCCTCTTACACATCTTTGATTTGGGGGACTTTGCAACTCTTTGTTTGCAGATATAAATGAGCACCTTAATGAAAGTCCTTGAGAATTTTACCCTCTAATGGGCTAACCTTATTTAGCTGAAATACTTTTTAAATGATTCAGGCTGGTAAGCGAGGCTTCGTCTTGCAGGAAAATTTTGCCTCTTGAGTTATGAACCCTTGCAAATAAGGTTTTATAATAGGAACACTGTCAGAACTTTAATTATAGGGTAATAAATAGCGATGCTGCATTATCTTCTGATACTTCTTTACATTCTTAGCGAATATCCGCAGCTGTTGCTGGAAACTGATAATCAAGGGCTCTGTAACTGCCTTGCGGCTTCTCGCCCTCCCTCCGTGGAAACAGCAGCAGCAGCAGCAGCGAGCGCTTCTCGGGGAGGAGGCAGCGGGAAGCGGCCGCGGGAGCGCTGGAGCGCAGGGATGGGGCCGCGGGAGCGCAGGGAAGCGGCCGTGGGAGCGCAG